CTCCAGAAACTTGGCTCCTCGGAGCCCATTCCCTTTATAACATTTCTTTGTTTTTCTGTTTATCCTCAGCTGGAGAGTAGATTTGTTGCTATCCCCCCTTCCATCATAGCAATATAGAAAATGTAATTTTTTAAAAGTTTAACAAAACTGGCCCGACATAAAAGACTGGGAACACAGAAAATTAGTGACCATAGAAAACTCGTGAAGGTTAAGTATAAGGCAGGTGCAGAGTGTATTCCAATTAGAAGAAATGAAAGGAACAAAAGAACAGTGATGCAGGGAGAGAGTGTGTGTGTAGGGGTCGGGGTGTTGGATACTTAACTACTATTTAAAGTGTGAAGTTTAAGGTAGAAAGGTAATAGAAAGTGAGGCTAGAAAATTGGGTCATAGAGGGTTATATATACTATGCTTGAGCAACTGCATTTAATATTTCACGTAATGATGAACATTTTAAAAGTTTAAAGTTGGGAATTGTGTTTTAATGGCAGGCTAACAGCATGTGGAATATAAAACCTTGTGTTTCACCATGTTGAATACGTCCATTAGTAAGTTCTTTCTGGGCTTAGTTTCAACTAATTTACTAAATTCTACTTGAGCAATCTGTAAGAGAGAGAACAGACTTCTTGATGAAATCAGGAAGAGTATTGTTAAAACATTCCTTTTTGATTGGTTGGTTTCAGGTTAATAAGAGTGGAATTTCATGTTTGAATTCATTTTAGAAAATAAAGCGATCTTGGAATATCATTTCATTACGTAAGAATGAGCCAATCAAACTAACCTTTCAGAGTTTCTATTGGTAGTTTTGGCTGATGCTAATACTAACCATGAAGAAATACTTTTTTGACTCTATCCTACTCTTAAATTTTAAATTAGGATATGCTAAGGTTCAAAGATACTGCCATGATCCTTTTCATGACTAATTGTATATTTAAAACAACTCTCTCTGTGTGTGTAGTGTGGTGGTGTGGTTACCCATTGGGCTGCTAACTTGCAAGGTCAGCAGTTCAAAACCACCAGCTGCTCCATGGGAGAAAGGCAACAGCGTTCTACTTCTATTAAGATTTACATTCACGGAAACTCACAGGGGCAGTTATACCCTGTCCTATAGGGCCACTGTAAGTCAGTATTGACTCAGCAGTGAGTTTTGTTTTTGAGTTATTCATATATAACAATATTTTACAATTTTTTTCTGGCATCAGATTGTTATTTTGAGAGATGAGAAAGTAGAAAACTAATATTTAATCTAAATGCTGTGCATGTGCTGCACATAAATTACATCATTTAGTTATCTTACATAATGTTATTCTCCATATAACTGTTACTGTTTAATTACATACATCAAATAATGACATGAATGTAGTCTCATTTGGGGACTTTTTCCTCTCCCATATCTTCGTGCATCTATAGATGGAGTTAGTGGTGATCTCTTCCTCATTACTACTCTAGAACTTGATTTCTTTCTTTTTTTAAAAAAAAATTTTTATTGGGGGCTCTTTTAAAAAAAATCATTTTATTGGGGGCTCATACAACTCTTATCACAATCCATACATACATAAAGCACATTTGTACATTCGGTACCCTCATCATTCTCAAAACATTTGCTCTCCACGTAAGCCCCTGGCATCAGCTCCTCATTTTTCCCTCTCCCTCCCCACTTCTTAAAGCTCTTAGAGCAATCCATATATCGATTGTATGAAGCACATCTGTACATATGTTGCCATCATCATTTCCAAATCATTTTCTTTTTACTTGAACCCTTGTTATCAGCTCCTCTTTTTCCCTCTCCCTTCCCACCCTTGTGGCCCTTGATAATTTATAAATTACTTTAATTTTCATATTTTACAAGGTACACTGTCTCCCATCACCCATGTTTCTGTTTGTCCCCTTGAGGGTGGGAGTGGGGTGTTGTATGTGGATCATTGCAATTGGTTCCTCCTTTCTCCCCCATCTGCCTCCACCTTTCCCCTATCTTCATTGTTACTCATTATTTGTCCTGAGGGGTGTATCTATCCTGGATTCTCTGTTGAGAGCTCATATCTGTACCAGTGTACATGCGCTGGTCTAGCCAGATCTGTAAGATAGAACTGGGGTGGGGAGTGGGGTGGGTTGGGGTAGGGAAATGAAACATTAACTAGAGCAATGTTGTGTTTTTTTGTTGCTGTAATGCACCCTGCCTGGGTTGTCCCTTTCTGTGAGGGGATGTCCACTTGTCTACAGATGGACTTTGGGTCTCCATTCTGACCCCATCTCGTTCACATTGAAAAGGTTGTTCGTTTGGGGTCTTCTGATACCTGATCCCATTGACACCTCGTGATCACACAGGTTGGTGTGCTTCTTCCCTGTGGGCTCTCTTGTTTCCCTGCTAGATGACTGCTTGTTTATCTTCAAGCTTTTAAGACTCCAGACACTATATTTTGTAATAGCTGGGCACCATCAGCTTTCTTCACCACATTAGCTTATGCACCCATTTTATCTTCAGCAAGCATCAGAGAATGCCACATTATCATAACAAAGTAGAGGCCAAATGTCTACCTGCTACCTTAATACTTATATAAATATATGTACATAGATCTATATACCTATTGTTATATATTACTGTATTTACATTCACATGCATATGTTTACAATAAACATGTAAATGTCCTTTGCCTCCTAGTTCTTTCCTCTATTTCTTTATACATTCTCCTGTCTATCACTATCATGTTCGACTCTACTTCCTCTCGGCTACATTGCACTTGATTGAACCCCACCAGGGATTCTGTGCCTTCCTTTCTCGCCATAAATTTTCGATTTCTTGTTCTAGATCTTGATTTCTTTCACCCTTCTGTTAGTCGCCCATTTCATAGGATTATACCACTATCTTCTGTGAATTTATTTCCTCTTTGATTTGTTTGGCTTCCTTACTAAGCATGACTTTTCCTTATTCGTTTTGACATTTTAGAATAAGGCTCATGCTAGTAGAAATTTCATTTCTTTTGAATGCTTATACCTCTCTCCATCTAGTTTTATAGCCACCTTTAACCTAGCCCCAGGAATCTTTAGGGATCGCTAAAGATGTAGTGCATTATGCCTTGGCTTGTTTATCACAAAGTCACCAGTGCAAACCTACCAGTTGCTCCTCAGAAGAAAGATAAGGCTTTCTTCATGTGCTTGTAAAGATTTACAGCCTCTGAAATCCAAAGGGCAATTCTACTCTGTTCTATAGGGTCACTATGAGTGACAATGACTATATAGCAGTGAGGAATTTTTTTGCTGTCTTTTAAAAATCTAGAACTGGTGTTCTGGTGGCACTGTTGGATAAGTGTTGCACTGCTAACTGCAAGGTTGGTAGTTCAAACCTACCAGCTGCTCCTTGGGAGAAACATGAAGCTATCATCTCCTGTAAAGTTATACTGTCTTGGAAACCCTAAGGAACAGTTTTACTCTGTCCTTATAGGGTCACTATAAGTTGGAATTTACTTGTCTGTAGTAGATATATTAACTTGGGAGCTCCCTTATAGCAAATGAATAGCTAACTGTTCGTCTCTTACTACATTTCTCAGTCTATCAATTTCTAACAGTTTCTTCTACCACCCTTACTTCTATCTGTAAATTTGAGTAACTAAACATACATTAGTGCCTTGAGGTTGATATTATTTGTCTTTCAGACAAAAGTTTTAAATTAAAAGGTAAGCTCTTTTTCCTTGCTTCATAGTGCAGTGACAAACTTTAAAAGATTACTTTACCTTTTTCTTGAGTTTTATAGCCACTCATAAAAGAATGAGAACACAGTGCTTCTGTTTTAGAGTGTAGTTTATCTAGTGCTTGGAATTTTAAAAGCTTGGAAGTAGTTATCCAAGGCACAATAATGGTTTCTATTTACTTTGAACAACAGAGGAAAAAGCAGTATCAGGAAGACTCCCTGCCGAGTTGATTCCGACTCATAGCAACCTTTTAGAGAAGCAGACAGCCTCATTTTTCTTCAGCAGAGTGGTTGGTGGACTTGAACTGCTGATCTTGCAGGAAGCAGCCCAACACCCAACTTACAGCACCACTAGGGCTCCTCTTGTGTGGATAATTGCCTCCATGAACAACTCTCGCCTTTGCCGTGATATTAGAAGACTTGGATGATGCACAGCTACCATTACTGAACATTTTGTCAAAGATGCTATAGTAGAATCCTGGTCAAAAGGAGAAATTCAGTGTGTACCTTCTAAAAATGAAGCCTATTCTCAACAGTTAAGATGTAGAAAGATTTAAAATAACAGTCCTATCCTTTTGTGTTTGTTGAATTATTTTTCCAAATAATAATTTAATTTAGGTTAATTTTTTGTTGACTTTACCAGTAATTGTTATCTATCAGTTGTCCGTGATGTATTTCATTTATTCCTATTTTAGTTTTGTGTTTAATAGACCATTAACCTGTATTTCCTAGGCTATCAGCTGACTTAGATAGGGAAGCTTAATTCCCCCTTTCATAGAGTAATAGTGTTCTTATTTGTAAAATGTGTATTCCCAGAATACCTTGCTTTAGAGTGCTGTCAAGTTGATGCGAATCAATGACCCTAAAGGACAACAAAGAATTGTTTTCCATAGTGTTTTCACAAATCATACAGTTTGGCAGTCAATCATATTAAGAGTTGTACATTAATCACAATCAGTTTCAGAACCTTTTCTTTGTTTTTGTACTCATTGTTATAAGCTTCCCATTTCCCCAGACCAACTCATTTATATTTAACCCATGGAATTACCAGCCTGGTAGTTAACTTTCTGAATCACCGGAGTTCCTTAAAGATTTTATCGTTAACAAAGTAAGAGAATTTGGATATAGATATTAAATATCATATCTACTACATAAAGTTTTGTGTTCATTTATCTAAAGGTAGATTTCCTGATAGCCTTAAAAAACAATTTTACTATAAACACATATTCCATAATATTTGCTAAGATTTTATGAGAAAATTCTAAACGCATTATTGAAACATTGTTCTCTTTCATTTTTATTTATTTATTCCTTACAGAATGTTTCTCCATCCCAGAGAGATGAAGTGATTCAATGGCTGGCCAAGCTCAAGTACCAATTCAACCTCTATCCAGAAACATTTGCTCTGGCTAGCAGTCTATTGGATAGGTTTTTAGCAACTGTAAAGGTAAATAGTTTAAGAAATGTGCACATAATGTTTTGTTTGAAAGTTTATACACCAAACCAGGATCTACTGGTAAACATTCTACAAAATGGAGAGAGGTGAAAACCTTCCTGGAGAGTGTGTGTGTACCACAAGAAGATAATAGTGCCTTTTGCTATTGCTGTAAGTTCTCAGGGGTATTTCTTTTTAAATGAATATTCATAATTTGTACAAAGTGTTCGTAATACATTTTTAGTTTCTTTGTATAAATTATGAATCAAGTTTCGATAATAAATTTTTAACCTCTTGATTTTAATAGAGATCATATAGCATGGCATGATGGTTAGTCTTTTAGTCATTTCTAACAGATCGGTATTTCAGATGTAGGCAGTGAATTCAAAATAGACAAGTATAGTCCTATTGCATATTTTTTCTGTCATGATTGATTGATTGTCCATAATGTGTGGTTTTCCAGCCAATATATAAATACTCTCTAGGGGCATGCATTTGGAATAGAACACGATGAACTACACAACTTTATCACATTTTTGTTGAATGACAGTCTGTAAATACATGAATAAGTCTTCTGTTGTCCTTATTGGAATACATAATGTTGATGATACAAAACTGGTGGTAGTAGACACCCAAGAGGTTTAAAGCAGATCATTTATTTAATGGCAGAGTATGAAAGAGCAGAAAAGCAAATTTAATTATAATCATCTGTATACCCAGAAATATGTAAACTGAGAGAACTGTGAATATAGTTCTTAGGATACTATACTACTTCTTATTGCTCATAAAAGATAGAAGTCAAAGAATTAATGAATAGAAGAATGTGGAGTCTCTTAGTTAGCTTTTGATGTTTTAAACCTGTGTTCTTAGAAACTTAAATCCTCTTCACTTAATGTGTTAGTCAAGGTAGACTAGAGAAACAAATTCATAGACACTCATATGTGTAAGAAAGAGCTTTATATACAAAAGCAATTGCATATTGAGAAAACAGTCCAGATCAATTTCATAAGTCTGATATTAGCCCACATGTCCAATATCAATCTATAAAGTTCTCCCAGATTCACAAAACACTTGCAATGACGCCAAATGCAGGAAGATCACTGGCCAGTGGATGGAAAGTCTTGTGGACCCAGTGGCAATGGAAGTATCTCAGTGTTGGTAGGGATCTACAGGTGGCTTTTTCAGCTCCAGGGCTCTGGCTCCATCAGTGTGTCTCCATGTGTCTTGTCAACAAGAATGTCTCGCAGGGAGTGAGCGTGTATCCCGCCTTCAGTGAGCTATTTATCTCCTTTGCGACTCTAATAAGGTCATCAAGCTGTGACCTGATTGACAGGCTAGACTCCACCCCTTCACTGTTAAGTCTCAAATTGACAACTGATTATGCAGCTACCACACTTACCAATGCATAATGAACCCTGTAGGATATAATTAGAATTGCCTCATAGGATTTCCAAGACTGTAAATCTTTATGGTTGCAGACTGCCACTTCTTTTTACCATGGAGTGGCTGGTGGGTTTGAACTATCAATGTTTTAGTTAGCAGCTAATGCTTAACCACTGCACCATTACCTTTAATTTTGATAGTAAGATCCTGAAATCTAGGTGATCTGAGATGCATACTTTGATCAAAGTATCAAATCCCTTTCTCTTCCAACTGTCCCCCTATCACAGCTAACTTTCTCACAGGTAATTTCAGAAAAATTAGCTTAAGGTTAGTATGCTTTCATATATACCCCAAAATTATTTATTAACACTTGTTTCTGTTATAAAAATATTATTTTAGGCAAATTTAGGAGCATTTATAGGAACAGTTAAGAAAATTTGCCAAATCTCATGTTTCAGGTTTATCAGTATTGGATACCCTTACTTAGAGATAGGAGATATCTACATAGGGATGGTTTGTTTATATAAAGAAAATCAACAACTACTGTGAAAGGAGCCACAGTCCTAGTTGTACAAAAGAAAGTGAAGCTTTTCACAGCACTAGAACTTGGACCTTGTCATCTAGGATGTGAGAAATGTATGTGTTAGTATTTAAAGAAGCAATAATAAATTGCATAGAACATTGTGACATACAGCTCAGGTTGATAACTGTTTTGTTAAACCTTTGCTGTTTGATTCTCTTTATTACTATACATTTATTGATACTCTTAGTTTAGGAGTGGAGCTTAGGGATTGTATTGCTATGTTAGGCTCCTGCTTTGTAATGAATTTAGATGACTTCAGGGATGGGGATTTCAGATTAACTGCATTCGAGGGAAATAAGGGAGCCTGGGCAACTGCCTTAATAATTATTGACTTCACTGTCTAGATCATTTGTGGAGTGTCACTAAACTTCCTTGAGACTGTTTTCTTAGGTAATAGATAATTATGAAAGTATTTTCTAGCCATGATATTTTCATTACTATTAGTAATTTTAAAATGTTGATAATGTACTAGCTTTTAGAAGGAACCCTTGTTAAGGTAGTAGTTACAAGTTGAGCTGCTAACCACAAGGTCAGTAATTCAAAACCATCAGCCACTCCTCGAGAGAAAGATAGGGCTTTGTACTCCTGTAAAGAGTTTCAGTCTCAGAAACTTGGAGGGGCATTTCTACCTGTCCTACATAGGGTCACTATGAGTCGACATCGACTCGATGGCTGTGAGTTTACTTAGGTATAATAATTATGTTTGTTTAAATGTTAGCTAATTAAGTCTGTATTCAGGAATGCCTTCATGATTTAAGTTGAAGTAAAGTTGAAGTCCCTTTTATTGTTTCTGTGTGTTAACTCTTATCTGTGACTCAATATAATTGGATTAAGTTGTTCTAACTTCTCTGAACCTGGATGTTGCATTGGCCAAACATATTGAAAGTGAGTCTACCCTGTTAGAGATAACAGGCAAATTCAAACCGTCCTGTATATATGGAAGCCAAGAACGTGTTTTTAAAAAAACTGACTTTGTACAAATTTGGGGAGTCTTTCATTATTACAATGAAACTTGAATATAGGATTCTTTGGTAGACATTTAATCATTAGATAAGTTCTATTTGGAAGTATCTCTAAAGCATTTAAAATACATTAATCTTTTCATATTCTTTTCTCTTGAATCCCCTAGAACCTAGTATGTCATCTTACTGATATTTTGTTAATAGGTGGAGAGAGCAGAAATAGTTTAAATGTGCAAGTGTGAGCATGCACGCACATACACATAAATAATATGTTGTGTAATTTAGAGAATATTATTTATTAAATTGAAAAAAATCTAAAGCTCTTCTCCACTGGATAGAAATTTGGCTAACTGACATTGGCTGAACTTCCAGCAATGTAATAAGCTTATTTCTAGAGTATCATATGGCAGCACCTAACAACAGCATTGTATAGATAGGGCTGTGATGCTAAAGGTTAATTTAGATCTAAATATCAAAGGATGGGTATCAGATTAATCAAAGTTCTGAGAATTTTATGCATACTTAGCTCATCTGAATATCCATTTTTTTAAAAATAAAACATTTTAAGACTTACTAAAATTGCTTTTCTCCTCTTCAAAATTTTAGGCCCACCCAAAATATTTGAGTTGTATTGCAATCAGCTGTTTTTTCTTAGCTGCCAAGACTGTTGAGGAAGATGAGGTAATGTTTTTCGTTAATGATTAGTTAATGTCACTAATTTTAATCAAATTATTATATGTTTGTCAAAACAAAAATTGAAAATCTGTTTATTTTCTGTTCTCTCCCTCCTGGCCTTATCTTTGAACAGAGAATTCCAGTTCTGAAAGTTTTGGCGAGAGACAGTTTCTGTGGATGTTCTTCATCTGAAATTCTGAGAATGGAGAGAATTATTCTGGATAAATTGAATTGGGATCTTCACACAGCCACACCATTGGATTTTCTCCACATTGTAAATATACCTGAAGTCTTTACATTTTTTTTATGTGAATGTATAGTTGTGTTTCAGTACCTTGAAATATTAGACTGCCTGCTCATTTGTTTTGTTACTTAGGAAAAGGAAAAACTATCGAAATTATTACTGTTGATGTGTCATTGAGCCTGTTTTAGTTCATAGCCAAAGGAAAAAAATTAAGATTGCTGATACATGTCAAATTACTGAATTTCAAGTTTAGGAACTGAGAAATATCTTGGATGTGATAACAGTTTCTGTAGACAGTTTACCTTGGTGATGAAACTAATATGATGTTTCTGTAATTTTCAGTTCCATGCCATTGCAGTGTCAACAAGGCCTCAGTTACTCTTCAGTTTTCCCAAACTGAGCCCATCTCAACATTTGGCATTCCTTACTAAGCAACTCCTCCACTGTATGGCCTGCAACCAACTTCTGCAATTCAAAGGGTCCATGCTTGCTCTGGCCATGATTAGTTTGGAGATGGAGAAACTCATTCCTGATTGGCTTCCTCTCACGATTGAACTGCTTCAGAAAGCACAGGTGGGTCTTAATCTAATTAAATAATGTTCATTTTATTACAGTATGTAGACTTACCAGATAGTTTATGGTTATAGAACTAGGATGGATAATTTCTTATAAAATCTTATGGATAAAACTTTATAATGGCAAATCATAAGAGGAGACAAGTAAAAAGGAATGGATGAAAAGAAAGTTATTGCTTTCAGTATGGACTACCATTTGCTTTCACGTAAAACAAAAATCTTCTCTACTGAACCAAGAAGCTACATCATGATAGAGAAAAGATTGAAGTTGGCAAAGATTTCATTTTACATGGTTCCACATGTTGATTGCAAAACCAATCTGTTTTGTAAACCCTCATCCAGTTATAGTAGTAAGTTAAGGTTCACTCCAGAAAGGATTGATTGATAACTGAATTCTGAAATATATGAAGGAATGTATTAAAACCCTAACATTAAGACATTAAGTATTTTATTCCTGGTTTTGTCAAGCTCATATATTTTTTATTACAAAAATACATCCTATCAGAGGTTCTTACTTATTGTTATAAAAGCAAATGAAATTACTCTAATTCTTATTCTACCTTATTCCAGATTTTTAATTTTTTCTTGCATCTGACATTTGCCCTTAATTCTTGCTAGTTGCATAGAGGATAGAAATTGGGCAGATACCTACAAGGTCAGTGATTCGGAACCACCAGCTACTCCTCAGGAGAAAGATGAGGCTTTCTGCTGCTATAAAGATTTACAGCATCAGAATCCAATAATGACAATTCTGCTCTGCCCTATATGGCTAGTATGAATCAGAATCAACTTGATGGCAATGAGAATCTCCACTGAAGAGATGAAACAGAGAAAAGGATGGAAAACCCTCTAAACTGAGGACCAGACTGAATAAAAGTAGACATTGGCTATAAAGTAGTGAAAAAAAGAGAATGGACCATTTCTCTTACCAACTGCCTCAATACTTCACACTTATGGTAGTTTTTTTTTTTTAAGAAAATCTTATCTATTTTGTGCATCAGCAGTGGACTATGACAGTAATAAATGCCAAGATGTGTGGCAAGAGTAATGCTGACTTTTGGATTATGTGTCATCTTGCTAGGGCTAGGATTCTCCGTGGTTTGGCAGTTGTGGAATGAAGTAATTTGACAGTTCATGATATAGTCATGCTTCATTTTGTGATCTGATTAGTTATCCTTCACTTTCCCTCAGCACACATTTTATATAACCTTGTTTTTGGAATTTAAACATGTCAGTAAATGGGGAGAGGGTAATCTGTGCTTTCATGGTGATGTACAGTGTATAATTTTCATGTAAGAATTCTAATTCCGAAGAGATATTAGGTCTACAGATGTAGGTATAATTAGTAAGAACTTACTAAGTAGGCTGGAGAACTATGTGCATTTGAAGTAGAAAATGTAGGGGGAGAAAAGGGAAACGGTTTTATTGAGCACAAGATGAAAGTGGCCAGCAAGGATGACAGAGAAGCCTACATTATCAACTTTGTGCTGTTTTTTGTTGTTGTTTTTTTCCTCTTTATGGCTCAGATGGATAGCTCCCAGTTGATTCACTGTCGGGAGCTGGTGGCACATCACCTTTCTACTCTGCAGTCTTCCCTGCCTCTGAATTCCGTTTATGTCTACCGTCCCCTCAAGCACACCCTGGTAACCTGTGACAAAGGAGTGTTCAGATTACAGTCCTCCTCTGTCCCAGGCCCAGATTTCTCCAAGGACAACAGCAAACCAGAAGTGCCAGTCAGAGGCACAGCGGCCTTCTACCATCATCCCCCAGCTGCCAGTGGGTGCAAGCATACCTCGGCTAAACGTAAAGTAGAGGAAATGGAAGTGGATGACTTCTATGATGGGATTAAACGGCTCTATAATGAAGATAATGCTTCAGAAAATGTGGGTTCTGTGTGTAGCACTGATTTATCAAGGCAAGAAGGGCATGATTCCCCTTGTCCGCCTTTGCAGCCTGTTTCTGTCATGTAGTGTCAACAGTTCTTACCTTCTAGTACAAAGCTAAGGCCAGGCTACTCTAGGAATGGGAACATGCAAAACCAGGAAAGGATATATAAGGGATTAATACCTTAAGAGGCTGAATTGAAATGAGCCAGAAGGGGGAAAAAAACAGCCTTGTTTACTGTGTGGCTAATTATTCAACATTTAAATACTCAAAAGACCAAAAAAAGTATAAAAAAATTTCAAAAGATCCAATATTTAAGAAAAAAAATTACAGTGTTTGCAAGTTCTTCTGTTTCTCTGCTGACATATAATATTACTTGCCCCAAGTCACCAAGTCATGTTTCATGTTTTTAAAAGATCCAAAACTTGTAACTAGCAAACCTTATTTATACCCAGCATCTTAATGTAATTTTCCTCTTTTGCTTTCTTCTTCATTGAATACTTAATGAATTTTATGCATGTTGATCTATATACTCTGGCCTCCACTAAGCAGGAAACCTCTCCTCCCCCCCTTGTTTTTTAGCAAATTAGTGAACACATGTTTGGATGACTGCCATGAATAATTCATGATTCAAATCTAAATTAGTCTGAAAAAACTTTGAAATTGTTTTATATGAATCAGGTGGTAAAAAAACCACAATAAACAGGTTGATTTTAGTGTTTATCTCATTTCAATTTCTAGCGTCTAGAAATAAAATTGATGCTTTTATTTTTATCTATCTTAAAGTGAAACTTAAAAGTGGTTTGTGATTAGGACATGTTTAGATTTGTTGAAAGCTTTTTTTTTGACATTTGTATAAAATTATTTGTGATAAAGTTAATATATCCAGGTGCTCACCAAAGAAACGTACGTAAACAACTGAGGTTAGATTTTATAACTGATGAGAATTCAAACCCCCCACCCCCATTTATAATCAGTAGAAAAGACTGTCTAGATGTTGGGGCAGTTCTATGATTTGAATCTGTAACATGTAATAACTGAATTCAATACCCAAGTTTTATGTTGCTAGGATTTTCTCTATAAAAGTTATTCTCCTTCCTCTCCAGCCTATGTATTTTTCTTAATGACTTTTGGATCCTGAGCTCTCTGTGCAGTCTGACAAGGTATTGCAGTCACAACCATGCCATGATCGATGAGAAAAGCCTCTGGTAGCAATAAAAACATTGTCCTTACCATTGTATCTGCAGTTCTTTTTTTCTTATGAGAAGGGAAGAGGATCTTGATTGCTTTTTAGATAAAGGAAAATTATAGAAATCCTAAGAAAATGCATACTAAAAATAAAACAGGAAAAAAAGGATTTGAATATGACTGAGGGGGGGGTATAAAGACTTTTTAGACATAAGGATTTTAACTTTTTTGATATTTTCTTGGTGGATTATGGACCTTCCAAACAGCAAATTCTCATCTTATTGAAACTGTTTATAAGGGTTGTCAGAGATTATGTCATTTGTTAGCCTGCTTTTGCAAGTTTATCAAAGCAAAAGAATGCTGAAGTCAACATTTGACTTTAATTTTGGTAGGAATTAGCTGCCATTATAATCCAATTTAAGAAAAAGCATTTACCCATATGAAGAATGAGGGGTCAGAGGGAAAATTAAAATTGAAGGAACTTTTTTATGTGAAGATCAGGAATTGGTTTCAAAAAAAAAAAAAATGCAGCTACCCAAGCACAATTGGTCTTATTTTGAGCAGTTGAAGTAGAGCCAGGAATAGGGGGATGGGTGATATGTGTGGCTAATGAACTTTATGAACATGAGATCAGAAGACAACATTTTGATCAAACATTCTGAAGCAGAATCCTGATAAAAAGGAAAAATGTTCATGGACTTTCAGACATCTCTGGAGCCATGAAGGCTGAATGAACTGAAATTGTTGCTGTGAAATAATCTTCCTTAAACCAAAAATATTCCCCCAATTAAAAAAAATTATTTAGTTTAACGAGTGAAGACTATGTTGGACATTGTGCTATTTTAAATCTTTCATAAATGTTCACTTTCCATCTTTTTAAAAAAAATTGCCCTGTACACTGAAGAGAGGAACTGCTCTTGCAATGTTTAACATTCATTGGTGTTTAAGTCTGATGTTAAACTTACTGCCATAGCAACAGGAAAAAACGCTACAGATAACGGGTCAACTGTTATTATGGTAACCTGTCTTTAGTACTGTTTCTGGTTTTCTCTCTAAAGATTAGCAGTATTTTAATATCTCCCTATAAAGGTCTCAGGACAGACCTTCATTACCTAGACATGGACTATTGGAACTTTAACTTCAAGAGCTTGATTGAACACCGGAAATACACAATGTTTTTCAACCATGTAGCACTTTAAAAGTGTTCCTGCTGTTAAATCTTGACACTAATCCTCATTTGGAGCCCCGGTGTCCTCAGTGATTCTCCATTTGGCTGCAACGCAAAACCACCAGCTTACTCAAGAAGGATGGAGCTTTCTATAAAATTAGTCTTGGAAACGGGCAGTTCTACCCTGTCCTTTAAGGCAGCTATGAGTGAGCATTGACTCGATAGTAGTGCGTTTGGCTTTGTTTATCATCCTATTACTTGAGATATCTTGGTATCCATCAAACTGGCTTTTCAAGATGTGGAAACTAGGGTTTAATGGCTGTCAAGTGCCTCTTGGTGGCTAAAAAAGCGGAAACTTTTTGAAAGCTAAAGGAGTCAAACTTGATGGGTGTCAGTTTTACTAATCCTCTGTTCAATAGACAAAGTGAAAGAGGTACATGTTCTAGCCTAAAGGTTAAGATCAGGCAGACAAAGGTTAAAATTACTGTTTTATCATGTTTTGGAAGAATTAACAACCAGAATGCTCCATAGAAGGATTGCGAGACTTCGTCTCACGTTCTTTGCATATGTTATCAGGAAGAGACTAATCCCTGGAAAAAGATAACCATGCTAGGTCGAGGGTCGGCAGAAAAGAAGACCCTCAAAATGATGGAGTGGCAGCAGGTGCAACAGTGGTGAGGATGTCATAGGACCAGACTGTCGTGTTTTATTGTGTATAAGGTGGATCTGCATTGAAACTGACTTAATGGCATCTAACATTCTCTGCTAGATTGCTATGAAATTATCTAGAGAACTGAATTTTCCTCTGGGCATTTATTAGAGGGGTGGGGGGAGGACAGTGCTCCCAAATGCTAATGGAAAGGTCAGATACAACAAGTGTGTCAAATGTTCTTGACTCCTGGCTCTGACTTTGCAGGGTGGCTGAGAATCTAAACCTACATCCCCGTCTTGAATTAAACATCAGTTTTTGCCTCTTTTCTCCTATCTTGCTAGAACCAACCACTTCCTGGTGTGTTCTATGTTTGCTTTAGATGCTGGGATTTTGAAGCTTTCTAGATCATTCGTTCTGGAGTTCTTGAAGAAGGTAGGCTGTGCTTGAGGACTCCTACCCAAAGTAATTCAGTGGCCTTTCACTTGAAATATGGTTAGGCCACTGATGGTAATCAGCCAGAGTGGCAGGGGTGGGGGTGAGGGAGTAGATCTACTTCAAGCAAGTCATGCATTTGCAACTGGAAAGGGGAAGGTACTTTACCAAATGTTCTCACAGCCATCCCAGGAGATGAGCACCCCCAGCTTACATTATAAATGGAAGGTTAGGGGAGTTGTCTAATGCTAAGAATTTTTTTAAGAGTTCGACTTTAAGCTCTTTCAAGCTTTTACTCTACTTGACACCTGTTCTAACAGGCTGTAAAACCTGTTTGGTCTTACATGTAAATGTTACTTCTAGAAAGCCTTGATTTTACGTGTGTGTATCTGAGGGGAAATTAGTCTTTATAGTGTGTTAACTGGAGGTTGGCTCCTAATCTATTAGTGCTTTGGGTTTTGGCCACTAGATGGTGTGCCTAAGTAAGAAATCTACCAAATCTCCAAACTCCTTGGTCTTCCTGTGGATTCCAGTGCATAGTGTGACCTTTATAGGACAGGGTAGAACTGCTGTGGGTTTCTGAGACTCATTCTTTACAGGAGTGGAATTCTAGGAGAAGATGAATTGTTCAAGACCTTACAATTGGTCACTCATTTTTTATTGCTAAGCAACACTGGCCAGCTCTGCACCTCCCTCACAATTGTTACCATTTTAGCCCCTTGTGAGAGCCACTATGCTGGTCCCTCTCATTGAGATCATTGCTGCTGGTGATGAAATCTCATACAAAACCAGTTTTACAAATTAAACCCCCAAATGAACTGTACAGTTCTAAAAAGGTAACTAAAGGGCAAGCCCTCAAACCTGCCTGTTTTCTGTTAGAATTGGATTTGACCAATCATTAGGGCAGAAAAGTTGAAGTGCAAATTAATAGCACATGTTAAAGAATTAAATCTCACCCTCACGGCATTGATTAGTTTAATGGCGGTTACTATGTAACACGTAAGACCCCTATCAACAGAGACATAATCCCCCTTGAGAAATGTCTTGACTTATGAAAGTGTCCTAAGAGATAACCAAGATTTTCATTTCACTTAGCTTATGAAGTATAAAAACTTAGGAGTTCACAACTCAGGCAGTTTATTTTGCAGGAGCTTCAGAGTGAAGGATAAAGCGAGGGGACCTCTAAAATTTAAACTTACAGTGGATTAACAATGGGGCGGCTAGAGCACTGGGGCCACTGTTTTTTTTTGGTACAGATTATTTTGTTAAGACGCTCCAGAAAGAAGGTTAACTGAAGGCAAGTAACCTGAAAGGTGATGGCTAAGGCAAGGGGATCCTTTTCAGTAGCATCTGTTCCTTGGATAATTCGGCACAGAAAGGGCTTACATTTTTTTACTCTAAATTTGCATATGAGGAAGGCAGATGAGCTGATACCAAGGGCTCAAGTAGAAAATGTTTTGAAAATGAAGATAGCAACATATGTAGAAATGTGCTTGACACAATGGATGTATGGACGGATTGTGATGAGCTATACAAGCCCCCAATAAAATGATTTTTTTTAAATTGCCTATGAGATACTAAGAGAGCTGAATGTCATTCACAGGACAAGGTTCCATCCTAAACACCGAACTCTAACCTAGGCTGGTGCAGAATACAGAATCAGAAAGTAATTGAGGGGGGAGACAGATGTGAATAAAGGGCAAAGGGGGGGCTAAATTATCAATCCTCTGAAGTTCTCAAAGCATTATTGAGGGAAGGCCTGGGTAAGCCCAACTTTGTAGGGTGCCCACCCATTTCATTTGTTCTGTTGGTGGGACAGCAATCTTTTATAATAACTTCTGTCTTCCTGATCGAAATAACCTATTTGGAAAAGAAGATTCACTAGTGAACTGACAGCCAACTATTTAATCTTATATACAGCTATTAGTCAGAATGTCATCATGCTTGGATCCACAGTCACTGCTGCCCCCAAATCTTTACAGTGTTGAAGAGCAAGGATGTTATCTGGAGGACTAAAGTGTGCAGGACTCAAGCCATGGTACTCAGTTGCCTCATAATGCATGTGAAAGTTAGATATTGAATAAGGAAGACCAAAGAATAATTGATGCATTTGAATTGTGGTGTTGGTCAGGAATATTGAAAACACCAATGGACTGCTATAAGAACAAACAACTCTGTCTTGGAAGAAGTACAGCCCAAATGTTCCTTTGAAGCAGGGATGGTGAGTCTTCATCTCACATACTTTGGACATGTCTAGAGAGACCGTCCCTGAAGAAGGAAAGATATACTTGTTAAAGTAGTGGGAGATTGAAAAAGACCCTTGGCAAATGGATTGCTTGATAACAGTGGCTGGCAACAATGGGCATAAACATAACTGTGAAGATGGTGCAAGACAGGGCAGTGTTTTGTTCTGTTGTAAGAGAGTTGCTATGAGTCAGAACCAATTCTACAGTACCTAACATGTAGGTACTAACACTAGTAGTCAGAAAGAGGGAAATTGGAAAAGGAGGTGAACTCACAATTAAGCACATGCTGTCTCTGCACCAGCCCTGAGCTGCAAACCTGGAGGTAGATGGTTTCAGCCCACCAGCTAGCTGCTCCGACTGTCTGCTGTAAAGGTTGAGAGTCTCAGAGACCCTGAAGGACAGTTCCACTCCAGACAGTGTCGTCATGAGCAGAAACTGGCTTGCTGTCAATGTTTTAATACCGTGGTCTTAATTCAAGCACAGGAACCCTGGCAATAAGCCACATTGTCTTCACTGTCAGCCTCCAGGGTGGGAAGATGATAGAAG